ACTGCGAGGAATTGTGCACGTGTGTCGATCACGCCGTGCTCGGAGAAGTCGGCTTCTGCGTAGCAAAACCAGGCTTCGATGTTGTCGGGCCAGAAAGGCATCAGTTGAAACGAAGGCGGGGACAAAGTCTTAAGCTTGAGTACTTTAGGTGTCTGTTCAGTCATGATGAAGTATGAAGTACGATAATGAACAAGGGGAAAATATATATATCCAGGAAAAAACACGAAAAAAAAATCACAATGTTTAAAAAAGTTAAAAAAATAAGGCAATGATATATAAAAATCCCAAAAAGGAACAGACTCACAGTTGCAGTTAGGTGTACCAGATCACGTCGGTTTCACCAATGATGATGTCACAGGTATTCAGTGTTTGACAACGCTTCTACCAGTAACACCTTCTAATATATTTCGTTCCCACCCAGAGAAATCAAAAGACAGAGTCGAGGAGATCGGAAGAGTATATTTGGCGATGACCAATATATCGGAATTCTCTGATCTAATCTGGCTAGCGATTGCGGTTGATGTTGAGCACGGCGTTACCACACGTGATCTGGTGCGGATGCCTGACCGAGCGCCTTCAGCTAGGTGAGTCCACTAAAACATATGGTCAGCATCCAATGTCGAAAACTTAGTGCTATGTATTTTGGGGATTTATTTACCGCTACACCCATATTGTCAGCAGCCATAGACCATACAACAATAATATGAAACTTTAGAGACAAATGTCAACCAGTCAAAGAATAAGTCTAGTGGTACAAGTCTGAAGAATATGGAGACATATGTCCTGAATTCAAGTTAACATATGTGAAAAAAAGGAGAAAAATTTCATGTAACGATAATACTGTTGAGTGAAACAATTTGGAAGTATTTTCAGTGCATCTATTTTGTTCCGATGTAGACATCTACCTTCCTAGATTGCGCAGTATATCTTCCCTGATGCTGTACACGAAGTCTGAATTTACAAATAATCGATTATGTCCTGATTGATTGCTTAAGTGTGAGACAGCTGAGCATCACCTTGAGTTTTTGACTGCATTCAATGATGAAATAACATGTAAGTAGAAGTTTCTACGTAATTTGACTGCTTTGCATGATAACTCTTATGCGTTTCGTCGTCATTTTCCTTCTCAGTAGATGAACTATTAGATATTTTATGGCAGACATCTTTGCCATCGAGCGATTCGTTCTTCAGGATCTTTAAAATTCTCCAGTAAACTCGACCTTTTATGATAGGTTTGAAAACGAACTTACGTGCTTTGGAAATAGTGAATGAAGTAACCGACCACTAGCAATTCTTTCGGTTGCAGATATAAGACATAATTTTTCACACAGCGTTTTAACGCAATGTGTCATAAACTCTTGCTCGATATTTAATATTATGACGGAAATTTTAATTAACTGGACGATTTTTGGTTTGATTGCTGTTGGAGTTTGAAATCTGTGTCATACATTCTACTTGTTCGACCGCTCTATACAATACACAAGAAGCTTGATTGTAGATTGGAAAAGATTAATTGCACTATCCGTATATAAATCTTGTGTATTTTGGAGCTTATATGAAGAGTTTAAAGTCTATATTTTGTTTGTTAAGGTCCGTGTAATATTTTTAAGAAGACAAGTATACTTGGTCTAGATACGGCCAAAGTTGTGATGATAAGGTAGTAAGATTATGCATTAGGGTGATACTATAATTTATGGACGACCATTGAGCGACATCAAAGTGACATTGAGTGTGCCTCCCTTTTTACTGGGGCTAAATGGGTGTTATAAAACAGTTTGAAGAATAAGGATCATGGTTAGCAGTTGATGGTTAGGGTCAGGGATTAGATTTCCGTTTTTGAATCATGAAAAAATTTCAGCTAAAAGGACCAAACGCTATTTGGCCAAATGGGTGAATGAATTTTTAGCCAAAATCCAAGACCTGTTATCTTGAATCTGACTGGTTCGTCCATAAAATATAGTCTTTCCCTTTAATATGTCATATAGTTATCATTTTGCAAGTTTCTCCATCACTGAAGGAATCTTTCAACTTGAGGTATTAGAATACAATTATATCAACTGGGAAGCCAAGATAATGAACAGCTGCGTATGAAGTTATTTAATTACTCCTATGATCGGCTATTTGTATAAGTGATCCAAAAGCATTCAGTGATTGTGGGTAAGGTCTTTGCTGCTTACGGTTAACAACATCCAATTTGATTAGCTCCTACTTGCTAAAATTAGTTCACACCAACTTATCTACAGTGAATACCTCAATAAATTATTCCTAAATTTTCTTGGCGGTGATAGACAAATCTAATAGTCTTCTTAACTTGACAAGTGGTTGTACTGTGAAGTTATGAAACATGTGTTGAATTCATGAATTTTTTTCTATCCACTCATGTTTCATACATTTTGCCTGAAACCATAAGCAGATGACGCAGTACAGAACGTTCTTGCATTTTATACAGTTCTGATTGTTGTAAGTTGGAGAAGCTGATAAATAAAAGCTGTACTCTCTTCTAGGTCGACCAGACTTAGTGAAAAACGATATAGGGAAACGTCTGCATTCCTACACAAACTTGTTCACTAGCGTTCTAAATGAAGTGGGTTTTCTTTAGCAATATACGGACAACCAATAAATACTGATAAATGAAAGCTTCAAATTAGTACGGTTTGTGCTCCTGAAGATACAGAAGTCAATGTACCACTGCTAAACCGTAGTTCTTCTATTGTAGGAAGTTAGACGAGAACGCTGAGATGTTTGAACGAATAAGAACTAAGTCTAGATTACTACCAGTTTATAGCATGACTTCGTATATTTGAAAGAACAAGAACGTCATAAACAAATAAGTTGTGCACTGTTACAAAAACCGGTAGAAAAATCAAATACTAAAATGTAAGAATCAGCAGTCTCAATATAGATTGACGTGGAATGCTGGTCAAGTTGAGCAAACTTACGAATAAACGTGCGAAACGACGTTATCACAGAATCTAGTAAGGATAAGTGCTCTCCATTGCTCTGAACTTTCGAAAAACACATCAGCAAACTACTTAAATTCTTATTAATTAACCGTACCATAGAAGGCAGCCCATTAGCAAAGATTATGTGTCACCTGTTTTCATTAGATTGGCCTTAGTAATTGTCCGGGTAGTCTGAGAGTCCTATATTGAGAATTCAGTATTATGGTCACATTAATTTGCGGCGTCCTCCGTAATCGATAGGCTTATAGCTCATCTTCATGTCACTCTGTCCCTTATAACCTTAGACAGTCAGTGGTTAGATTAAAAAGTATTTTGAAAATATCTGTAACATCTGAAGTGATGCCTTCTGGATTCTATATAGTCTACAACGAAACGTTCGGTACTAGTTCTTTCCAACAGGTAAATTTAAAACACAATGGGTGGGATCCTAATCGTAAAGGTTATCTATAAGTATCTTGATGCTAATAAACAACTTAGGTCCACAGAAGAAAGATATATTGTGAAAGTAATACAACCGAGGTCTGAAAATGCACCAAATTATTAAACTGCCACGAAACTAAGAAGTTACTTTGATGGACAGACGTATTCCAGTAACGTAAAACTGTGCAGCAGATAATGAACCAAGGCCATACCGAGTTTTAAATTAAGATCAGGTTCATATTATATCACTGTTAGGTACTAAATTTATATGCCACAATGGAACTTTGCTGATATCCATTTCGGAATACAGGTAAGTTCGTGCATTATCATAGCCTTGATATCGACTGGCTATTGCTATTATGACTGTAGTGGGGAGAGTGAAGAGACCCATCGAGTTTATTTGTTAACGTGGACGGTTAGTAGAAGAGTGACTCAACAGACAACTAAGTCGTGTTATTTTATTTCGTCGCGAAATAAACTGCACATATTCAACTATGGATGTCTAATGTACTTAGGAGTACTTCATCAGACTGATATCTTCCAGTGAAAAAAAGTACACATTTGTGGGTTTTCCACAAGATCTTAAGACCCCATTTATGTGCTTATGGTAAATGTAATATTTGGAGTCGTGCATACACATTTGCAGAGCAAAATACAGCTCGAGATGGCTGGCCGTGGGATGGGAAACTTCTGCAGTTCAGAATATCGTTTATTAGGTTAACAGTACTCCCACACGCGACCTGTTTCAGCGTTCAGTAAGTGACATTCAGGTTCGAAGAAAACGGTTCATAACTTAAAGGCCCTATAAGAATATAAACAATAGATTCAAGAAGAGTATCATATACTCGTACAGACCCTACGTATTAATATAGAATAAACTAGTACCTTGTCGTTCACAGATGAAATTGCGACACAACGGATCATCGTCGAACAATCAGTTGAGTGGAACTTGTCACTATACATCAACTTCATTGACAATGAGAAGTCGGTTGTGTGGACAGGGGAACAATATGGAATTCCTAAGATTGTCGACATTATCCGGAAGTTATACGACCAACTACAGAGCAAAGTTGTGCATGAGTGCAGCTGGCGGATATAGTCCCAATAAGAACCGGAGTCAGACAAGACTGCCCACTCTCCCCCTTCCTTTCTTCTGGTGGTCGAATGGATTGTGAAGACCACAATGGACAGCTCAGAGTCGATTGGACATCGCAGATGATCTGGCCCTCCTATCCCAAATACACGAACAAATGCAGATGAAAACAACTAGTGTAGCAGCCTGTGCATCAGTAAGCCTCAGTACACACAACGGAAAAAGCAAGATTCTCAAACAAAACACGAAGAACACCAACCCGACCACATTTGATGGAAAACTCTGGAAGATATGGAATCTCTCAAGTTGTTATTCTGAAGATGTTTATGTGTTTCAGGGTTATGGAAGACTGTGTGGCTTATTTAATTTTCCAGAGATGTAAGGAATTAGTAATGCATGCACCCTAAACAGCATATGATGGTGTGAACAACCAACTGAAAATATGAGATATTCAACCAAAGTTGCAGTGAAAAATGAATATTAGGATTTGAATTTATTTTACTGCGATGTGAATATACATTCATTGGAGCAAAAAGCAAACTGCATAGTAAACAACTCTTTTTGTGACCAAAATTAAAACTGAAGTGAGTAACTGGGGAGATAAAGAATTATATGTTAACTGAAGAACAAGAATAAGATGAGGGACTGGGATATTGTCCAGAAAAAACGTCTAAATGTCATTACTTCACTTGATTCACCGAGAATGAACAAGTTAACATACATTGTAATCATGCATAAACTCATAAAAACATGAGTGACTGCATAAGTCGAAGCGATGTGGTTAAGTTGAAAGGAAGTGAAACTACAAAAAGAAAAGACAAAGACGTTTATTCAATATCCATCAGATCTTGATCCTGAAGATTGGAAGATGAGTTTGCGTTGTCAGGGCGACTATTTTGCATACAACCTTTAGTTATATAATGTGAAGATAAAGCACCATTTGAAAGACCATTTTCATCTGTTTCGGACGAAGAATCTTCTTGTTCTTCATCATTACTGTTGATCGTGCTGTATATTTGCGTAGAGCCAACTTTTCGGCGTACGTAAACTAACACATATGCTGCACTAGTCTACAAGAAAAGATACACAAACGATCAAACAAATTACGTACACGATGTTAAACTGTACGTATTGTAGACTAATGATGCTAAAATAGGTAGAGTTGAAGTCTTCATAAAACAAACGTAATTTATTGTTTACATGGTACTAGGCCATCAAATGAAGAATTGTATTGTTTTGCTGTTTAATAAATTGAAGAGGTTCAACACATTAAATATCCTTAATGCAAATAAGACAGGTAAAAAACCTAGTAGTAACAACAACAAAAGTTAATTGAAACGAAAACTTTAAAAAAACACATACAACTTACTACAATTTTGGAAGGATCACATTCTCGTGTTGAAGAATCGTCGAAAAAGTACCATCGATTAGTGTGAGCGTTTAAAGCAAATGCTGTATAGTGACCTCCACCCAAATATCCCATATGATTGCTTACAGCTACTAAGTCATAGATAAATTTCTCGTCTGGTTTCTTTTCAAGTACGCGTGAAGTCAAATTTAAGCCACTAGTGTATTTGTTCAATTAGATTTTAGCAAAGTAAAAATACATTTAAAATAGAATAAGACTGTTAGAAAAATTTATCCAAGAAAATTTTCAGAATCATGTGAACAACTAATGATAATAATACGCTGTAATAAACTTCAAGAAATAAAACACCAGATAAACAATACGAAATCAACTATTTTATTCATACTCAACATTCTAGTAAATGAGAAGAGTGAAAGTGGTAAATAATTAGAGAGGATCCCCTGAAGAACAATGCAAAGAAATACAAAAATGTATTATAAGAATTCCAATTGAATTCTAGCCTGAAAACACAATATAAAACAATATTTGTCAAATGATATACAGATATGAATAGTCCTAATCTATAATTATTTGGAAAATAAGTATACCGTAATTCAAATGAATTAGTTTAAATTATGCCTTAACTTTACAGCTAAACTGTATTATCATATGCAACTTAATAAGAAAATCACCTTGTTATTTATTAATTTTATGAAAAATAACATGTGAATGAATATTTCAGTCATCCAGCTACAAAGTAGGACCAGGCACATATATGCATCGGTCCAAGTTGCCATACCGCATTAGCACAGCAAGATGAACACCGGATTCGTAGGAGTAGTTAAGTCAATGATGGTAATATATAAAAAAAGATTGCATATAAAGATATAGTACAGGAAGAAAGAATTAGTTCGCAGAAAGAAAGATATGAAGTGATTTTAATCTCTTAGTTTAAGGGAAGACAGAGAGTGCATACATCTACGCCATTGTGATCGATTCTGAGCCGTCACCCAGAGTCTCCAACCATTGGCTACAATAGTCATGCGGACCCCAACCAAGTAGTCTGCATCTACCAATATGGCTCAGACCAGAAGTTAGTGACTTCAAGCACTGATGCCATGTTTTGGTTTGGTCGCCTCTAACTTTCTTCCAACCATGAATGAACATGTAAATAAATAGAGCTGGGAAAAAATGAATAAAACTACAAAAAAAAGCAGTTGAAAATAGATACGTTGTTTTGTTATATCCCGCAATTTCGGTTATTTATTTACTCTGAAGAAGTGGCTTACATTAAGTCATAAAGCGTCAGAAATACAAATTTTCTACTTATTGGGATATAACAAAAATATATTCATTACTAACTTTCTATACAATGCTCAATTTTTTTGAAACTATCAAGTTCAACCTAGGCATTGATACTATATACGAAATAACAGGTTTGTAAGACAAAACATGAAAATAATGTTTCAAGAACGTTAAGTTTGATTAGACTTCCAAGAAATAAATTAGAGAAACATCCAAATATGGTTTCTTCAACTAGGCGTGAGATAAAGTTAACTAAAATTCAGGTATACATCATCTTGTAGCCACTATACCTATTACACGAGAATTACACATCCTGTGGTGTGCTACTTATGTCGACATAAGTAGTATATAACCCTACTTAAGAATAAGATGTCTGGCAGCAGAAGGTTGAGAAAATCGAGGAGGAAAGAATAGGAACAGAAATCAATTCGTATGGAAATACAAGAACAATTAACCCTGAGACAATTAATAAACATTTAGCAAATGGAGCATTGAAGTATGGTTTTTCCATTATATCAAGTATCTCTGTAATTCTGTGCTAAACATAAAAATCGGCTGTCCTCACCTGTGTTCTCCTTCACTACAATACAACCTTAGTTATTAAAGGAAGAGAACACACAGTAAAGGGCACGAGTATATGTAATCACAGCTTGAATAACACTAGAAACTCACAATAAAATTAACTTACGTTAGTGGGAATTCCAGTAAAGTATCGATTTTATCATGAAATCGTAAATGAGATCGGAAACGCTTTAATTGTACTACAAGAACATCAGGAAGTTTCCATAAATCAAATTTCTTTGTAGCTGGTTTCTCCGCTTTGCAACGACTACAGTACCATAGATCTCTTGAGCCTAATTGTTCTATGTCAGTAAAACGTTCGAAACAATCTGAAAGTTTCAGAGTTTCATTAAGTCGTGTGACAGGATGTTGTTGTACATGACTTCGAATGTCATTGAGTCTACGTCGTATTTCTAAACTTTGACATTCTAAAATGATACTATAAACGTCAGAACCTGGAGAGGAAACAGAATTTGAAAAATTATATATATTACAGCGTTGTTTGAGAGAAACTTTATCAAAAAGGAATAAAATAAATAGATCTACACCAAATTGATTGAGAAATATCTGACTAGATGGCAGAAATTGTGCTACATTATATCGTTATACATGGCTATTGACATTTCATAGTGATAAAAGCAACTCACATACTTGTACCAACTGTGAGTAATCTTTAAATAATGATCATACAAACTTTCTACGTGCTGCACATAACAGGGAACGGAAAAGCTATAACAATAAAACATTTTAAGTTATCCTGCTGTGCAGGAAAATCTATAAGTAATGATTAGCCAAAGCAAGCGGTTCCAATTACCGGCTAGATCACTAAATACAAACAAACAATTCACAAAATTAATAGTGAAGGAAAAATACCACAACCATTGCTGATAAATATATATATGATTGTGACTTGGAAAACAAAACCAGATGTTAAATTATCATATGATTCTCATGAAACGGAAAAACAAGATAGGACTCATATAGATGCAGATTGGTTTTGAAGTGAGAAATTATAAATTTAACTATTTGGTTAGCGCAATTTTTAACCTAGTACTGAACTGCTTAACATGGTTGTTACGTTTTTACTTACGTGGTATTCCTTGACTAATACTGAACGTCACTAGACCTGACACAGATCATAAAAATGAACTACGGTCAAGATATATTCTAAAGAACATAAATATCAAACAATAAGCAGTAAACAAGAGTGCATAAAATACATTTGGGAAACCATATTAGCACCTTTCTGATGTATTTCAACCTAACTACACTTCAAAAGAGTTAAGATATTTCAGATTAAGTAAAATACAGACCACATAGAAAGTAACAATTCTGCAAAGTAACTAAAACTGGAAAACATTGGAGATATTAACAACTGGCATGATAAAAAGACATAAATCACAGTGAATTGGAATGATTCCTGAAGGATGCTGTAATATATGAAGTTTGAAAAGAGCATACTAAGCATAATGCTAAACGTTGACTTTCACAAATAGATTAATAAATGTTAAAATTAGCTGGCATAGAGCACTAATGTACCCATTCCTTTACTTCGTATGCATTAAAAATGTGCACAAACAATCCATAGCACAGTCTGAATATTAAGTCAAAATTATTTAGACGTGAATAAAAATGTTGACTATGATATTCGAAATAGCGAGAAGAAAAATAAATAACACTGCTTATTACAAACTGATACACTACAATTCGTGAGTAGAAGTAACATTTATCAAAAGTGATGTCCCAGAAAATCTAAAAAAACCCACATACATTTCAGTTATGTAAACAGACTACATAAAGTGTTACGTAATTCTTATATTGCTTTTCATAATCCATGTACAGTAAATCTGAGGAGTTTAAGCACAGCACTAATGGTAAAGAAACTTCTATCCATTAACGCAAGTGAAAATTCGACTTACAAGGGAGAGATATTAAAGCATTTTCTGATTCAGCTAACCAATCATGCCCTCTGGTATCCTTCAGACATAAACGTCCTTTGAGTAATGAGACTAAATTGCCCATTTTACCTTCAGTGGTTTGTTTCGATTGATCAAAGAGATCGGTTGAGGTTGTATGAGATTTATCTGGATGGGAATTACTATGAAAGTTGCTTAGCGAACAAGAAACAACTGAGTTATCTGTATTTTCGTCCTCTAACTTTGATGTGTCACTGATCGGTTCACTATTTATACCAATAGCATGTAAACGGTCAATAATGTGTTTGATAAGTATATCTTCCGAGACGGTAATGGTCATTCCTGTAACACCATCATTTATTGGCAAACTAATATAGACAGGGAAGTTGATACCCTGGGCAATGCTGAAATAGGATTAAAGGGAGATCACCCGTAAAATTCATATTAAATGACCATAATAATAAAAATTTATTAAATGATCCGAAACAAATTCTACAAAAAATACTCTGTATTTTTATCCATACAATCACTACGGAGTTGAGATTTATTTATTTAAGTATTCGAGTACTAAGTTGCAATTATGGGCTCCTCTGGTGTATTTATCCGATTTACATGAAACAAAGAAACGAGAGGGTTAATATGGTTGTGACCGTCATTGATATACAAAGCTACATAACTACTGGGTGGTACCACATAAGTGATGGAACAACTATTTAATAGTTTATCTAGGTTGTAGTGTTTACTACGCAAAGCCCACGTGGGATATTCTGGCTTCTGGACAGACCGACTTGTTAATTCTTTTTGAGCCACATTTTGACCTTGTTAATCATTCACTTATTAAAACTGATTGCTTTTATATGAGCGTATTTGTGGGTATTGCTTATCCTAATTATCACCAGTCTATAATTTATTTTTGTCTAACTATAAATATCGAGTCACACTTGATCAAATCGAGTTTGCTCAGTCGCCTTCTCCGCGTCGCTTAGCTTTCTCCACTTCATTTCTGATTGTCTGTCCGGATAAATGAGTGTGCGAAATATACACATCCAAAATCCATTCTCGTATTAAACTTATTTCACTAACGCGATTTAAGTCAATAAATATATACGAGGGTAGCCGAGATGTACATTTCGATAACCTCATGGATAATATCATCATACCACTACAAAAGTAGTAAGCCCCAATTCGAAGTAAACACAATTTGCAAAACTATGCAGACGATGAACATCTCGAACTCTATGCATCCGATAAACGGACCAAGTGGCTGACTTAATCGATGAGTAACTCAAACGATTCAATCTTTAATCTGATGCATTCAATGAAGCCAGTACAACAGCATAAAATTTTCCTGCTCGAAGTGAGTTTATTCCCTTTCATCGTATTATTTTTGCCCCATTATTACACCCATTCACGTGGCTTATGTCATTTTTATTTTACCGTACCAGACACTACAAGGTTATATCCAGATGATGATAGATCACTGGCACAATAGGAGCCCATTTTCTTTTGAAATGGTTGCTCTGATCGTAGTGTACAAATTGATGAGGTTGGAATCGAACTTTAAAGAAAACAAGTGTTTTAAGGTAGTTAATAATGCCATAATAAAATCTATTGATCAAATATATTTTGAGGTAACACTTAATGATGACGTTTCATGAATTCACTTACTTATCATTTGTCCAGAGTACAGGAATCGGGAAACCTTCAGTCAGTTCATAAACAATCGGGGAGGCATACCTTGACCGATCTATAGATTTGTTTGGTATATAATACTGTACGAACAAAAATAATAAAATGTTTCAAAAAGGAGAATTTGATACAACAGTAGTGATTGTTACATTAATAATATATATTATACTGAAGCTTATTTTCTCGGTTTTCACTCAAACCAGGATTAATTACAGATTCACTGCCTGGACGTCATATCGTTCTTTCTTAACAACATAAACATGAAAGCTGCCGAGTGTTTACCACTTCAGAAGCTGGTTTAAAATTCGCTCCGCTTAATTCAGTTTGAAAAGTAAAATAATAACATTGATCTGTATACAAAATAGATATATGGCTAGTGCCACTACTACTCCAGTGTAGGTTTCAATAATATGTATTGTACAATAACTGAAACATAGTAAGGGACAAAAGTAATCTACACCTAAAAAGCTTCGTCTTTTCTAAACTTATTTATCAAAAGGACCAACAGTTTTAAATTCGACGAATCAAGTGTTTTCAACTTGAAGTGCATTCGTCTCGTTGGTAATTCCCTAATTATGTAACAGACTGAGTTTGCTTTAATATGTTTGTCGATTGGTGTTCGCCTAATGACTATCGGATTTTTTGTTCCGATTACCTTGATTACAATGGATTTTAATAACAATTTACCTGACAGCCTGGAAGAGGTGGACGCTCTTGTTCTAATGCTTCAATAATATTTTGACCACAAGGTATTGTGGAAAGTGTTAACTCTAATAGAAGAAGTTGGGATTTATTGGATGTCCACGGCCAAACATAAACGCGTACCGAATATTTGTATACTTCTTGTATAGGCAAAATTAATGAAGCAAATGGATCAAAAGTGACTGATTTCCGTTGACAAGTAGGACAAATTACGGTGGATTTCAGCTGGCCGTGGAAAAGATCTACAATGATGGAATCATTTCTTGACTTGTAATACTCCCAGGCTTCATTTGCAACTTCCTTGTGTAGACGGAAGCATAAGATGTGAAGAATAGAGGTAAAAAGTGAATTAAAACAGCAGATGATTAATTAAACGAATAAAAGTTTTAGAATCTACTTTGTGTTTTTATAGATATGCTATTCTTTTGTGAATTATTCAACTTGTTACTTTCAAATTCCAATTAAACTAACTCACATTGAATGTAATTCATATCACAGAATGACTAATGACGCACAACTATCGAAAACTGGAAAGCTTTTTGTTTCAGCATGAGATTCCACAATCTATTCAAGTCGGACAATCCAATATCATGAAGGTCCTCTAGCTTAAAGTTCCTAGATCTAGTTTCACCAACATTGATGGAAAGGATCTTATTTTTTTTGCTTTTAATCTTGATGTGGGTGACAACTTAGACCAATAAATACTTTGCTGGGTTTCCCATGGTTTATAGTTAATAGACTTAGTTTTGAGGTTACGAGTTGTTAGCCAATAAAATAAAACGTTAGCCTAACCTCTAGTCTAGATCAATTTTAAATAGGGATTTTAAGATTACAAAGTGTGGAATTTTTATTGAACGCTTGAAATATCAAAGCATCATTGAAGGCTTAAATCACTGCGACTGTTCAAAAATCAGATGTATATTTTCTATGTCGGATGTGTGAGTCATATTGTGAAGAAAAACCTCAATTAACGAACTGTTAGTGAAAGAACTTGTTTAGAGAACGTACAAACTAGAAATCATGAGGCAAAGGATGTGACGGGTCTGCTTTAGCGATTGATATAGATAGTGGTATAAAACCAGAATAAATTTAACTCCAATCGACTTAAGAATTGACAAAGCGAAAACTATAATCAATAAACAAAACATGGTAATAGAATAAACTTACAATATCCGGTCTGCCATCGGAATCTTTCACTTCTATATAAGGCTTGGAGTGTATTCTATTCAAGTCCTCATGAAGTCCATCCAATAAGAATACAAGTAGTTCATGAGTGTCATGTTGAGCATAGCCAGAAAATTGACGAGCAATACGTGCAATTTCAATCTAAGATTTAAATACAAATCAATATATATATATATATATATATATATATATATATATATATATATATATATATATATATATATATATATATATATATATATATATATATATATATATATATATATCACAACAGACAACGAATGGTAGTAAGTCAAGACTGATCTTTTGATTCAAATGGCGACATGAAGTTTGTGAGTAAATGGAGATCAGCTGAAAGTAACTTGAAAGCTATTAATCAGAAACTACAGATCATTGCCAAATTTCAATGACAAAACCGTTTGTTTATTAATAAGATCGTATAGAAAATTCAGTAGATCCAAAATGACTGATAGTTAAAATAATAGTAACTTAGTAATCACAAATTACATTAGATGGTTAAGTAAACATTATATCACAAGCTATAATTTCGGATGAAACATGTAGCATTTAAGGAACAAGTAATGTTCTAACAAGAAGGGACAAGAATAAATGATTATTAGAATTCAGATGAAATGTTGAGAAATAACTGCAGAAACTTGATACTAAAATGTACATAAATAGCACAAATATTTGAGGGGTTTCGTTACTTTGGCAACTGGAATTTCTTACGATTATTAGTTTGCACATTTGCACAGAAAGTTATTCAATGAAAAACCACATGACCATTAATTAATAAACTTCACTTTGGATAGCAAATCAGTGAAACTAATAATTCACCTACTTGAAAATGTTTTGGAGATTTGCCTAGGGAAACAGATGTTATTTAATTATGATTTATAGAGTGAAGTTGGATAAAAGCCTAAGGAGCAGATGAATTTGAACAACCTAATTTATACAATGTTGAAAATTAACACAATCATAGACTCATATTCCAAACAACCACTGGTCGGTAATAAAACGACGTAAGTAAAATTAAGTTTAAATAAACACATTAGAACATTCTATACAATAATAATATAGAAGTCATACAACAAACAGATATCAAGAAATACATACCTTAAACTCACGAGGCACAGCATATGCTCGCGTCCCCGACCACAGCTGCTTAATGAGATCTGCGTAAGCAGTAGCAATTCTTCCTTGAGATCCAAGTGGATTACGTATATTTAGTTCTGACTTCCATTTACCACTTAGGAAGTAACTGGTTAATGCAGGAACATTGGACATACACTGAAGAGCACTATTCATAAAACAGGTATTTCCCAAGTTATTGAGACCACAAACTCCTGGTACTAAAGGCGGACTGGACCCGTGTAACGATAGCATCTGAGATTCAGGTTGAGATCCTATAGAGTCATTCGACTTCAAACGTGAACTATTTACGCACACGCTACATTCAAAGAAGAATAGTATTGATACAATAAAAAACAAACGTGAGATATTCATATATTAAGTAATAAATAAGGCTAGTTATTAAGACTAATATGAACTCAGAATAATATATATTTAAAAAATTCTATCTTTACCGTGCTAAGCGTAACAAACTTAAATTAAATGCATCATCTGTCCTGAACTTTAAAAAAGAAAAACATTCAGACAATTAACTGCTTAATCACTTTATATTTGAATAAGAGATAAAACTAAATTCCTATCAGTATATTTAAAAAATCAATATGTTCACTAAAGTGCAATAGACCTGATACATACATTTTACAGTTACTTAACCGATTATTCGAATAGTTTAGTTACAAAACCAGTGATCAGTAACTTGTAAACAATACTAATTTAATGTCAGTGGGTCAATTCTAAGTAACAAATGAATAATAAAGGAAAATCAGAAAGGTTAAAATCATATACAATGTAGGCTGAGCAAAAACTGTTTTAGTACTTACTCACTGCGTATTCCATTTCTAGGTTCCAGATGAACAAAAATAACCTGAGAGGAAAAAAAACCCAAGATTTATAAGCATAAGAGGTTACTTGATTAATACACAAGTATTTTACAGCCGTTGGAAGTGGTTTACTACGAGCTTTAGTGACACACAGTATATATCCATTTTTGTAGACCATAAGAAATAAAAGCTGTTGTCGGATCCAAGATCTTAACTAATCAATCAATAGGGTTTTTTGTGAAGTAGTTTGATGGCTGGTAACTTGCAACTAGATCCTTGACTTACTAAAACTGCGAAATCCCATACAAATATTTGAAACCACTTAGTCGATGGTTTTGTTAAATTAGTAGTACTGTGAATCAAATAATCAGATCAGTGTATTTATTCCTAGTGGTCATGTTGCACAGTCGCAAGACAAGGTACTATGCAATGATTCTTTTTGGTTAGACATAGAATAGATGGAAATAACTGAATTTCACATTTGGACCAACTATAGCTCCTCGTCTACTAGATATAGTTTTGTACACCTGTAGCAAGCCAAGACACGTTCACGATTTGAGCTATATTTATTGGGTTGAAGCTACAGACACCAACTTGATATCAAAAATATATGCAGGGCAGGTTTGGAACCCGTGACAAGCGGGATGAAAGCTGAGTCCAGTATGAGCCGAAGCTCTACATGGAAAGTAGCAATATAAAGAATTTAGACGACAGGGCAGTCTACCTAAGAGTTGGGCAATATTCCAAAGTTGAAGAAAACAACAATCTCACCCCAGTAGTGTACCTGACTAATATAACAGAAATAAATAGTGTACACCATTAGGTGGTCCGTAAATAGAAGGCAACAAGTATTCCGTTTTGTTTTTAGAAGTTAATTACATCATGTAAATGGTTTAAAATAAACAGCTTGTTTGAGTTAAGATTACTGCTTTGAATATTTGTTAGTTATTGACTAATTTGATCAGAGTTAGTCATTACTAGGATATTCTGGAACAAAATCAACGATCACGATCTCTAAACAAACATAGCCTCGATAAAGTTATCTGCATTAACTGGAGCCATCTTTCTTAATCCCATTAAAAACACAATAGAATGAATATAAAAACTAAGACTAACTGTAGATTACAAGGCACGTCAATCTAAAAGTCGACAGATGGTAACGGGTTCTACACGTTAAGATGAACATTAATGATAACGTTTATGGGGCTCAAGAAGTAAGTTTCCGACTAGATCCCGAAAAACAATGAACGCTGAGGGTACATTGTCAAAGCAACTTCCTACATTAAACGGAATTGCTAAAACCTGGAACGAACTTAACACATTACTGCTACTATTATATATTCTGGTATTCTTGAAATGAATAGAAAACTACAAGGTGCCAACTACCTAAACCATATTACAATTGGAAATCGAATATATCGGTCTATAAAATATGCTCTTTGAAGCCATGATTACTAAGCGAAGTGTTCCTATCTTTTTTACAAGCAGCAAAAAGCTCACTGAAATTTTACTTTTTCACGCTCCAGGTTAGCTTCTTCTATGGTAGCATCTTCATCTTCTAATTCTTCAAACTCATTTTGCTCATTGTGTATTGATAAGTGAACATTCACGCCAGGTGCTGCTTTAAGATGTTGCGCGACTATCAGTTTAAGTTCTCCTGAAAAGTAATTAAGGGAAACCACCACATACTTATTGTCTGAAACTTGCAATATGTTCCTTCAAACAGGAAAGTGGCACTTGAATTTGGAGGATTTAAGTAAAATGAGTAGTGAGGTGGATATATTTCGATTTCCGCTGACTTGGGAGCTTGGATGGCACGCCGTTCGAAGACTGAAATGTCTGTGTGCGTACAACCATAAAAATCAACAAACAGCTTCCACACATTTCTAGGTATTAACGTGATGTCATTTTCTAAGAGCAAGTTCTCTTTTAATTTTCCATCACCTACGTTAATATAAGACATATATAGACAAAATCCTACATAAAATATCACTGTTATCAACTTTTCCTGGATACTCTTCCGAGGTTTCGTCAACCATCCCACTTTTGGAAACCGAGTCCACAAATTCCTCCCACTTCGTCCACCAATTAAGAGACAGGATATACCTAGGATGGACAATAGCGACAAGCTAAACACGTTACCATAAGTCTCCTTTTGTTATATCTACATTCATTAACTCATCAACTTTGGCTTTTTGAGTAGCGAAAGTGGCAGCACTTATGCAGTTTCTGAAAATAGAAGTAAATGGAACGTTTACAAGCTTTTGGAGAACAAATTTACAGGTAAACAGTAGATTTTATACACACATCGCCAACTTACGGTGAGACCATTCCTAACCGCAACTTTCTTAAAACAAGCGGTGAAAGTTGCAACGCTCATCATTGCTTAACAGAAACAAAGTCAGTCCTCAGTAATAAGGATAGGAGGTTGGTGAACCTGTATTAATCCTGACACATTGCCTTCCAGTGAAGGTCCAGTTTCTCCTTTAAAATATTCACTAATGGGGCTGATACCACTTGTTCGGGTAAGGCGTTCCAATCATTGACTACTCGATGAGAAAAACGGGACCCCACTTTAAGTTTATTAGATCTTGGTTTATGAACCTTCTTGCTATGACCGCGGAGATTATTAGTGCTGGAGGAAGCAAAAAGATAAGACATATTAACACCCAAATCATAATTAAAGATACGAAATGCCAGTATAAGGTCACCTCGTGTCCTACGATACGACAAAAGGAAAAGGTTTAGGCGTTTTAAACGTTCATCGTAAGAGAGTCTAGAAAGACCCTTCACTAATTTCGTTCCCACACGCTGGACACGCTCAAGGGAGTTAGTATCCTTTACCAGACATGGGCTAGCTGCTTGGATACAGTACTCTAAGTGTGGTCTTACATAGGTGGGATATAAAATTCGAAACGTTTCCTCGTCAAAAGATTTGAACGCTCGGCGAAGTGACCATAACGCACGAAAACCTTTGACAGCGGCTGCTTTGCAATGTGCAGTTGTTTTTAAGTCATGACTTAATATTACTCCTAAGTCCTTATGCTCTTGAACGCATGGAAGAGGTTTACCCTCAATAGTATAACGGTAACTATTACCGTGACCGATGTGCATTAGTACACTCTTCCTAGCATTGATTTCTAAACCCCACTCTCGAGCCCATCTAACTAAATCGTCTAAGTCAGCTTGAAGATCCAGATGATCAGCCGCACTTTTTATTGTTCTCCAGATTTTTACATCATCCGCAAGCAATAATGTCGACAACCTAAGCAACAGCGGCAACTCATTAACGTAGAGAAGGAAGAACAGAAGGCCTAAGATGGTGCTTTGGGGTACACCACTTTTGACCGGCTTCCAATCGGATAGCATCCCACTGACCCTCACTGTCTGTCTGCGGTTACATAAGAAGTTTCCTATCCACTCATGTACAGCACCTATTATTCCGAAGCTCGTGAGCTTCTGCATAAGACCTATGTGTGAAGACTTGTCAAATGCTTTGCCAAAATCTATGAATATCCCGTCGACAGACAGGCCTTTATCTAGGGCTACTGTTCAATCCTCTCTCGCAATAAGCAAGTAAATCAAACATGAACGCTTGTTACGAAATCCGTGTTGTTCAGGAGCTAACAGACTGTGTAAATCTATGTGGCTTAGCAATCTAACCCGAATTATTTTTTCAAGTAACTTAGCGACTATGCTAGTTAGACTGACAGGCCGGTAGTTAGATACTATCTGTCTCTGACCCTCCTTAATTATAGGACTGACTATAGCGACCTTCCAATCTCTAGGGAGTTGAGCGAATGAAAGGGACATGTTGAAGAGTGTCATGAGAGATTTTGAAATAATGTCCGCAAGAGATGACAGCAACCGTGGATGCAACCCGTCAGGGCCCGGTATCTTACAAGGTTTGAGGTTAGTTATCAACGGGAGGACAGTTTTCTCAGTAACCTGTACAGATTCACTGGTTGGTATCTTGGTGTGAGTGGGACAAGTATTTTTTACAATAAACGTAGAGTAGATTTCGCTAAAATAGTTTGAAAAAGTCTCAGCTTTTGCTCGATCTGATTCAGCTAATAAATCTGAATTTTCGTGTAACAGCAACGGGGGAATACCATCACTACGTTTCATTCGCCGTTTAACATACGAAAACAGTCGTTTCAGACAAGTACGGCTATCATATACTAACTGTCGTTCGTAAGTGGTACGGGATTTGGCTATGATTTTCTCACAGATATTACAGAATTTTTGGTACTCACGCTTAAATGGTGCATGACCTGTCAACAAGTCTCCGTGAACATACAGGAGTATCTGCTCATGGCTTCAAAATTGATATCATTTTTGATTTTTCAATAACATTTCTGGTGAAGCTATTATTGACGTATTAACAACACGTATGTTTGCTTCGTTATATTACGCTTTTTGAAATTTACGTCGTGAGCTCTGTCCAGTGTAGATATACTCAACGTTATCAAATCAACAATGTGTATCGTAGACCCGAACCCCGGTGGTGTTTACGTTCATCTAGGTTGGAGAAAACCTAATTATAGCCGTAGTTGATTTAAAATAGTCTGTCAGGAAATGATTTTAATAGAGAAATGTTTGAGGCTCAGTTTAGTTTCGGTAGTTGTGTTGTAAACCATGTACCGACTCATAAGTGACCGTAGTCTTTAATCCTGAAACGGTATCATCTGTATTTTTTAGGTAAGCGTTGGTTGATTATAGGTTCGTTATTCCGTTTATCGGCTTCATTATCCATAGTCAGCTACTTTGAGTGACATGTTAATTCGAATGAAACAAAAATTGCAATGCTTCCATAGTTTGACGTAGTTGATTGTTGTATTATACAGTCTATTGAAAACAATCACAGTAATTGAAAGGTAGGAGTGAACCTCATAATTTTGGTAATTAGAGTCATTTAATTTTTCATTTCGGTTTATGTCGTTAGGTGTTGAAATCTGAAAACGATTAGTAAAGTAATTAGCTCACAGGAGTTGTAGTTGAAAGCTTAGGACTTGTGCAATACAGGAGGAATCAAGAGGATGTGACCTTGATGTATCATTTTTGTCATATTACCCCTCGGTCCAACGTATTGCTTTTTGATTTCAGCAGTAAATCAGGCAGTGGTGATATAAACTCATTGTAGTAAGCGGAACTCTTCTGAAAATGACGGAAGACTGTAGTGGCATTGGACAATAGCCACACAATCCACAAAGCTGTGAACACGAGACTACTCAGGAAATAGATATTCAATATTTAACTCGGGGAAATACCTAAGAATGGAGAAGGCGCGAAGAATGAATTGAATGGACTGTAGTAGGATCGAGTGGCATGGCTCGGCCATGCAGGCGTGGTCTCTATTCATATTAAATATATTGTTCCTTCTCTAAACTAAGCTGGTTCTTCATCATGTATTGGTAATTGATACGATACAGTGAGTGGGCGTAGTCGATGGTGTGACTTCCACGTAAGATCTTAAAGATTAGGCAGTTATATCATGACGAATCTACAAATTTAGGATTAGGTCTATTATTAGAGCAGTACTAATATCATAGTAGACCATAATTCTACATTGGTGAGCCCAACTAAAGAAACGCAACCTAATATTATTAATCCTTATTACCACTTCAACTTTCTCGATCGATTTTATATTTATGTTAACCCTGTATTCCAATAGTCCTCTGATTAATGCTCACATGCATTATCGTAATGTTATATTGATTAGTCCTCATGACAAACTAGCTCAATCGATAATAAAAACTGGTCGTCTATATTAACTAATTAGCTTTGATGATTTGTTAACAAGCTGTAATAGCATTTACATGCTTCAGCGACATAGTCTTGTTTAAACATCAAGCTCTAGCAAATATGACCTGTAAATAGAGTAAATATACATTGACTAACAATGCGATCAAGGACTAAATAGTTATCTGGATCTAATTCTCAGTGTTCCTTCACTTAACACCTCATCCTGTTTTAAACGATGCACTATCCTGTAATATCTTTTCTTCTGACCACTGCCTGCCTAATTTCATATTCTCGAGTTCCATTGCCAAACAACGAGGATGACTACTCCAAAAACATACGGTGAGTTCCAGCTATAAGTTTTCTGCAATCATAAGTTCATTTTAGATGGCACACACAATTATCTGGATTCATTCAGTTGTTCTGATCAGAGCGAGTCCCAAAGACCTCAACAGCATCAAGCACCCTGGAAGTGATTGCCATACTGTATGTTTTATTCTGGATGCTTTTGGATCATTACTACTCCTCACGAATGGCGTTATATATGTCGTCCACTGAATAATCTAATTTTCAAAAATAATCCAGGCGAGTTCAACTATTTTACTGGATGATTTTTTTTACTTAACATGTATATGTTTTCCGGTTCCTTTTGCCATATATTTGTAAGTGTCCCTAGGCTAAATGCAGTAACTTCTTATGGAATGTTTATAACACATCATATTCCTGCCTGAAGTTTCACAAGCAGTCTAAACTTTAAAACTATTTTCTGGTCATGTTAACCTGGCCCATACATACGTTACACTATATCTCCATGTCTTATAAATTTAGAAATCATCTGGATCGCCTTTAACATTTATCAATAAACCCATCATAGTCGTTGTTGCTAATCGTATTTGGGTTTATGGATTAGTTTATCATATTAGCAGCCTAAAATGCGAACATAGTTTAGATAATAAGATTAAAAATTTAGGTACTATCAACTGCACTAGTGAAATAACTAAATCCCCAAGTAGCTGTTGGCTAAACAAACGTTTAAAATCAAAACTCAGTAGCCTACTAGAATGAACACTAAACGAATATTTCTGAATTGAAATTTATAATTAAATTAGGCGTCTCGGATTCTTTAACGTTATAAATTTCTGATGATTTTGAATCACCTAAAGCAACAATACCTATTTTTCCACTGACTAATCCTTAATCAACACTATAAGTAGTTAAACATAATAGTTTCAGGATATCGTCATAAAGCATTGTCATGACAATCACGTAATATGATTGATAAAATTAATGAGACTATTAACAAAATCGGTCAGCAAATTGACTTATAATTATCACTAGTGTTGTTTTTCTTTTATCTTCATTCACTACGGATGATTACAGTATGTTTATCAGTTGCTCATTCAGTAAATATCTCAAAACCTTGTCAGTCTAATTGATGGTTTAGCGACACAATCATGCATGCAAATAATCAGTATAAGCAGTCGAGCAAATCTCCTGCAAACTGAAAACATCAATGTCGAATTTACCCCAACACTGACTAAGGTTCAAGCCATTATCATAGACATGAGTTGGGAGTGTACTCCCCTTGG